TACGAACTTATGTTACAACCCAATATTACGCTTAGAAACACTCAAAGGACTAAACAGACACATTAAAACTAGAACACAACACAGAATCAGACGTCTTCTCTTTCTTTCTACTCTTCCTTTGTCCGCTAAGTGTTTCCCTTGGGAAAGTTAAAGTTAACTCTTCCTCTAAAAACATCAGAAGCACAAATTCATTTCAGACAAGGCGGCGGCCAAAGGTCGAATACACCAAGGACGGTCGTAAGGTAAGCTTACTTCTAGACCCCCTCATCACCTTCGGAGTAGTAACAGTTTTTTCAAGATAATCGATGGTGTGCTTGAAGACGAACAAGAACCAAACGCGTTATGGACGACCACCATATCGCGAGGTGTTGCCCATGACTGGAGGGAAAGAGCAGAAGCAGGACCGTTCTATCGAGCCAAGCAATACGGTAGGACTTTTCTTTCCAGAAAATAGCGTTCATTAACCCCTATATCAACTTGGAAGGCTATGGATCTGTTCTAAAGGCTGGAGTGGTAAGCGCATCCCAAAACGGAAATGATCAACTCCGAAAAACTTATCTCTCATCTTTGCAAATCAGCTTAACGGCTTACTTCACTTTGACTGAGTGCTCTACTTACTTACATAAATGAAATCGGTGGTGTTAGGATGTTATTCGTTCCTATGACAACAGCAGGGAAAAAGAGTAAACACCGGAAACGTGTTCCATATTTAGTCATGGCAACTGGACGAGTTACACCCTGACAGCAGGCAATCTAATCAAAGGCTAAAGTGTTTTATGCATTACAAAATTAAGGACCTAAGGAATAAGAGCCAAAAAGGACCCCTTAACAGACCCCTGACACCAAATAAAGCATCATGGGAATCAAAGGGAAGCAAAAATACTTAGGTGAATGGGGTTAATCACTATATTTGTTAATCCGCGTTTTTATCCTCTGTTATTGAATCAGGTAATTACATTAGCATACCAAAGTGTGGAAAAAGATAATCGATACGCCTTAGAGTGGCTAGACTAGAGCATTATGGGCAGCACAACTGGTCCCATTTTTCACAATTTTCAGGACCGATTATTTATGTGATCAGTCACTTTCTTTCAGTGACTGATCACATAAATAATCGGTCCTGAAAATTAAATCGAGTCACCCGCGTCCTAGCTACTGGAACTGGTTTTAAATTGGTACTTTTCTTTGTTTCATGATTGTGAGGGCAAATAGCACCCATTTCCCATTTCCATATAATTGGACTGTCAGATAGGGTGAACTATACGATGGATTACCGTTTCCTAAAACAGGTTCTAATTCCTCTTTTAGTGGACATGAGAAAAAAAGTGGTCACTCGGAAGACAAAGCCAAGGCGCATTCACAGTTGTCGTAAACGATAATCAATGAGAAGGGTCAGGCCCATATTGTTTGTGTCACACTCTCCCACAGCGCGCACGCTCCGCCCATTTCCCTCAAACGCGGCGAGCGGATCCCACCAATCGATAGGTCCCTCACCTATTTGCGGTCACATTAATTCTCTAATCCAGCGTAAATTCAAGAGCGACGACTAAGCTGTCATCAAACTCTACACCGTGAAACAATCGTAAAATAATTACGAAATTAAAAAGGTGCCGCAAAATCGAGATCATCAGTGAGTCACTTTGTGACTATTCATAGCCGAAAGCAATGCCGAGAATAATAAAATGGGATTTTGTCATTCCATAGAAAGACGCATACTATGAACGCAATTTTATGAACGTACCTCTGAACTCGTTGCTTTTCAGTGACCCTCGCGACGTATGAAGCGAAAGTGTTTGTGCAACGTTCTGCTCGTAATTATGGTACTATCATATTGCTCATCATTAATTTCTGTCTAGGTATAACGATCTTTCGATTGTTTAAAATTATTTAAATCACTTTTTTATGCTACACCATGTATCGACAGGTTTTTGTTTACTGATTAAATAAACTCATAAACACTTATTCAGTCCATATTTTAGCCATTTATTTCTCGGACTCCTGTGTTCAAACAATCGACATATATAATAGTAATTTTTAGTTAAAAGACGGTGGATAAACTCGCAATGAGGGATAATGTGTTCGATGTGTATATATATAGACAAATTGTAGCCGAAAGGAGACCAGTAGAAACAGATGAAAATGAAAACAAACATATACCAGGCGATAGGACACCATCATAAGCTGGGTAGCGTTAAAGTCGTGCTACTCCCTGCATAACACGATATATTTAAAATCAAAATTCAATTAAAGGGACGGCAGCAAGATGTGTGCTGGGCCGAGCCGCCAATAGAATCACATTTATACCTAATCGCGTACGCGTCGCGCGCACGTACGCGGATAACGCAAGTGAATCACTTTGCGAGGGATAGATACGCACATACACACAAACACATTGAGAGCGAGGGAAGAAGTAAAATAAAAAGGAAAATTCATCATTAACAAACCACCGGACTAACCAGTACAACCACCCACACGAGCAGCACAACCTGTGTGATTTACGAATATGAGGAACACGGGCCGTGTTCAATGTGTGCGGCGGCGAAAACGGAGCGCCATAGAGAAAACGACAAACGAATGAATGAACCCGGTGCTACACCGAGGATAACGCTAGTCGCATATCGAGCGTATACAACAAAGTCCACGTCAATTGGATCGATATGTCGCGCTGCAGGCAGGTTGCTGCAGGCAAGACCTTTTCGACAAAATGGACTGTACTGAGAATGACTACACATGAAACGAGTAATACGAAACATATCTTATAATTATAGGAAATCGATGGAGAAAAGATGAGCTTAGAATACAATACGGTATTACTAAGTCACAACTCTTTCTCCACAATCATCGCTCAACAGCACGTCATAACAGCACTTCTCTATATTCATAAACATTACTAAATCTGCACAGAATCTAGAGAACTATACAGAAAGAAGTTATGAAATAAAGTCCACAGAATAACTCAATATCATCTAGCCAGTCTTCAGCAAGAGGTACTCGCCAATAGCTATTTAAATTACACAAAATGAACGACTCATAAAAGTTTTAACAAATAAAAACGTTGGTAAAAAGTTTAATAGCGAAAATCGAAACCACTGCTACCTCGACGACGCTACAGATCCGTGGACTTTCATCGGTAGGAAAATGTAGCTGCAAAACAAGGCTTCAATTCTAGGCTCATACCAAAGGAAGACAATAAAAGTCGAAAACTAAAAAATCGCTAGCTCGAATAAAATAAATAATAGGAAAAGAATATGCCAATAAACGTCAATGAGTAAATACCAACCAGCATACTACGTAATGTGTACATAATTTGAGAAGGCTTGAAAGAAATGCATGAGGACTGGGTTTCGTTTTTCTTGTGATCCCTCACCCGTCAGATTATCACCTACTCCTACCGAATTTTCGGTCTCTAAGTCGTACTACTACAGAATCAAAAAAAAAAAAAAAAAAAAAAAAAAAAAAAAAAAAAAA